GCCGTGCGTGCGCTGGTGGTTGAGCAGGAAGCGCTGCTCGCGGAAGCGCTTGCCGCACTGCGCGCAGCAGAAGGGCTTCTCGCCGCTGTGGATGCGCTGGTGGGTGAGCAGGTTCTGCTTGAGGCTGAAGCTCTTCTGGCACACGCTGCACTGGTAGGGCCGCTCGCCCGTGTGGATGCGCTGGTGGATGATGAGGTTGTGCTTGAGGCTGAAGCCCTTGCCGCACTCGGCGCAGATGAAGGCGCGCTCGCCGGCGTGGTGCTTCTGGTGGCGGGCGAGGCTGGGCTGCTGGCCGAAGCGCGCGCCGCACAGGATGCACTTGAACTCCTTGCCCGCCTCCTCCTCCTCCGCCTGGCTGTGGATGACGAGCACGCGCTCCTCCCCGAAGCTCTCCTCGCCGCCGGGGAAGGCGAAGGGCTTCTCGCCCGCGGGCGACGCCAGGTCCGTCATGGGCGCCCCGCTCGGCCTCACGGCGCCCACATGCCTGGGGGTGCGGAGAGAGGCGCCTCGGAGCCGGCCCCGGCCTCTGCAGGGGGGCTCCCGCACCCCAGCCCATTGCACCCCATCGCATCCCACCCCCTCGCACCCCCTCCTCCCATCCTGTCCCATCCTGTCCCGCCTTCCCCGGCGCCCAGCCCCAGGCTCTGGGAACTGGTCGGACCGGTACAGGCCGGGGCTGGCCCGGGCTGCTCCTGGGCTCCGCTGCCGGCCCCGCGCCCGCCCCCCCACCAGCCCCTCTCCCGGGGTCTCCGGCAGCAGCCCCCAGCCCGGGGCCCGGCCCAGCCCCGCGGGAACAGGAGGAGGAAGGAGGGGAAGCGGGAGCCGGGGCCGCTGCGGGCCGGGGCGCCCCGGGGGCGGCTGCACCGGGAGGGGGCGACCGCGGCCCCCGCGCTGGGGCAGCCCCCGCCGCCCCCTCCGCCCGCGCCTGAGGCCGCTCGCGCTCATCGCAGCGGTGCCAGGGCCGCAGGATCCCCCATCCCCCCGCGCCGCCGCCCCGGGGCA